AGGTGTTTCAGTCTCTGTTGTAGATCCTTGGCCAGTTTGTGTGTAGGTGTGCCTAGTAGGGAGACCATGGGTCTGAGGGGGATTTGTGTACTTTAGGTAGCCCATCAAAGCTGGGGGTATTTGAGCCTTCTGGTTTCATTTTCATGTAGTCTGTCTTGGTTATTTGTCCTGCGTTTTTTAGTCTCTTCAGTGTTTGGGTGATCCCATTACCTATCTGCGATGTTAGGTCTATCTCCACCTGTTGGTAAGTGAGTGTATCTGCAAGCAATGCCTGTGCTTCCCCAACGCAGTCCAGTTTGTTCATAATGATGGTCATGCACCTTTTGTCCACTGGTAGGTTGATAATGTTCCTGTCTTTCTTCATAGCTTTTCTCTCTGATGCGTTGACGGTATCCCATTCATTCCTCCGGTTCAGTGTAGGGATTATAGTTTGTCCAATGGCTTGTTGTGTTTTGTCTGAGAGTCTATTACCTTTTAGTGTAGCTTCCAGGGCAGCCATAAGGTCTGTTCTGTTTGTGTCTCTGTGGTTATACTTTAGTCCACATATTAGAACAGCTTCCTCGGTTTCTCTAAGTGGTCTGCTGGATAGGTTTCTTATCCATGAGTCTGGGTTGTTGTCCTGCGGTGGATCAGTTTGGTCGGTTTCTCCTGTAGAATGTGTTTCTTCTTTGTTCTTGTCCTGTGTTGTTTGATGGTGATGGCCTGTTCCTTGGTTGTAGTCCATTGCTGGTTGGTAGTGCTTTTGTATAATGATTTTTGGCACAGAATTTCTCACTCGTACTTGTAGAGCAGGTTATGGGCATCATTGATCAACAACACAACAAACTTTCCCTCATCTCAGTGCACCCGCACAATGAAGGCCAGGAATTAGTTTGGCCACCTTTCTGACAATCCTTTTGTGGCAGGTACAAATGCCAAAACTTCACATAGCACCTTGATGACACCCTGGGTACTTTATAAATACAGTAAGAAATATTTACTCATACTCAAATCCTCTTGTATATGGGCAAACTTTCCATTTCCCTTCTCAATTGTTAGCATGTTAATTTGCAGTAATTCTCGACTAAAGACAATAAATTCCCTCAAGTTCAATATTTCGCAGGTTCTCACCATTTAAGAAATGTTTTTCTGACCAAAGCACAGAACCTCATTTTTCAACATTGAATCCCATCTGCCAGATCATTGCCTATACAGTTAGCCTCGCTGAATCCCCTAGAAGCATATTTGTATCCTCACAATTCACATTTACACTGAATTTTGCTATCTACAAATTTGGCAATATTACATTTACCCTCCACACTGAAATATTCCCTCTAATTTTATTTATTAGTCTCTCATGAGATATTGTCAGAATTTTGTTGGAAATCTAAATAAACCACATCCAGCATCTTCCCCCTCCACACACCACCCCTGCTATCAGCTCATACATCATTAGAGAAGGAACAGTCTGCCTGCCTGCTGTGTGTAGAGACAATTCAACGAGTGAAATATATAGGACACGAAAGGACAGTGTAATCAGAGAGAAGGGCCCCCTCAGACAGAGTTCCAACTGTCTGTCAATATTGGGTTTAGAGGCAACTGGGGAAAGTGGGAAGAGGGAAAGGGCACTTTATATTTCAACACAACATGGAGGAAAAAAAATATCCAATACTAAGAAGTTACTGTAAAAATTACATAAAATTTCAATATTTTGTTTGCCATTAAAAGTAGAAATGGGTAGCTGACTCTGAATTAACCTAAAACCATCAGCAGAGTCAGTTTGCTGTACTACATGCTGGAATGATGCACATTACCTCATGCTCACAGGCTGTAGTGCCAATGTGTGGGCCTGGTTTTATGTATTAAGAACTTGTATCAAAAGCAATCCAATTTTTAAGATTAATTTTATTTCAATATACAACGTAGTTTTGTATTGTATTAAAAAACTGGTATGGTTTGAAATAATACAGTACATAAAAACATTAACAGCTTACAGGTAAAAGTAACAAAACACTAAGGTGCAGAAATAATTGGGTATCATTTACACACTTGGTTTATACAAGATGTTTATTATTCTCACTTAATTTAGTTAAAAACAAAAACCAGTAAGGTTATAGTCCAGAATTTTGCTATTCTTACAGTGAAAACAGATGCTCTATTTACATCACAGTGAAGCTGCAGTTAGAAAACATCTTGATCGACTTGCAAGTGTCATCAGCATAGTTTAATAAAGGGTCTTATATACACGATGTTTTGAAGCAGCAAGAAAGAAATTAGATTTGCCAAATAGAAAATTCAATTCCACTCTTAAATATCAACTAAATCAGATCTGTGAATACAAGGAATGAATTGAACTCAGGCAGAGTTAGTAATATTTCAGCTTAAATTCACACATTATTTCATTCGTGCCTGTTTCCTCATAGAGTTTGTTTATTCATAACTTGAATTATCTTCATCCCTCCCCCTGCTTTAATTGGTGCTGCTGACACAGAATCAGTAAAGTCCTGAATCTCATATGGTACGATAAAGAAGTGACAGTCTACACATAGCAGCTTGGACAGCAGGTAATCTCATTGAAGGCCAGAAGTGTTGGAGATGCTTACTCTGTGCAGTTGTTAGTGGGTAGAAATAAGATACAGGACTGCCACTGCCTGATGCAGATGTGGAAAAAATAATAAAGTCCAAAAAACAGTATCCTATGACTTCTGATGGATTCTTCCAGGTCCATTTAGCTCAATAGTAAACCTCAATCTAAAACTCAGACATAAACATAAGAGTTGTATTACCACTTGAAATGCAAGTGTGGTTGTTAGAAACATTGCCAAGGAAGATGAGAATTTTGCACATATTTGCATTTGGCTTTGCAAAGTAAACAATCTTGGAACCACATTTCCCTGTTTCTGGGGGAGCAAAACATATGCCATTCATTAGTTATACTCCTAAACTCATCTCACTTTTTGCAGTCAAGGCATTTGGACACATTAAGCATACACCTACAACATTAATGACCCAACTGGGACTTGACCTCAGGATAGCTACTCCAGCAGGGGTATGAGTGGGTAGAAATGCAAGGTTCCAGCTGAAACCAATTTATAAGTAGTACGTTGGCTTTTCTTTGAGACCAGTTTTCATACTGCAGACTGATCAATGGAAAACTTCAGCTTTTTAACATGCCTTTGCTGTCCCAGGGCACAAAGGATGCAAAGATATTGCAGGCAAATATGAAATGTTCAGCAACTTACTGTGACTGAAATCCACCCACACTTGATCCAACTACAGAATTACTTCACTTAAAAAGCAAAAGCAAAGTCTGTAGCATAGAACCTGCATCATCAGTTTCAGGTCATGTAAATAACTACCTGCTGTAAATTCAGTCAACTTTTCTTCTATTCGAGATGATTCTTGTTACACACGTTATACATTTTAAAACGTATTGAGCTAAAATTTTACATGTTTGCACTGCAGACACACACAGATTTGCCTGCCAGGAACATGAAAGGAATTGCGCAATAAAGATCAACAGGCCATCAATTCGCTTGATTCCATGCATTTCACGTGGTGCCAGAAGTGCATATTCATAAAATGACTCTTTCACATGTAGCTTCAAACTCTATGAGAACCAAGATCACGAAGCAGAACAGTGTATAGCTTCGTCAGTCATCCTATATTTACATATGGAAACACAGGAAAGCACTCTACAACAAATAAAAACAATTTACAATAACAATACACGAGAGCATAACTACAGAACTGAGATTTGACCACATTGTACTGCAAAAATAAAATCACCGAGAATTCACTATTTTCCTTTCTAAATTACGATCTATTAAAGTCACAGTGGATGTCTTTCACTGGCAGGTACATAACTTCGTAAACAAGGACAAATAAATGCTAGATGATACATCTCTAGCAGTGATCTTTCTGCTTGATGAGCAGCTAGCATGTTACTTAAATGAAGTGATTATACCTGAAGTTTGAAGAAAAACGGCACGATGAAGTTTGAAAATAAACTAACAAATAAATACCTTTGTGGGCAAATAAAACTGTAGCGGAATTGAGCCCTTGCATATTCAATGAAGGAAACAACAAAGCGATGTGTCATCTATAAAGTCCACGTGGTTCAACTACTCAACTGGTCGAATGCCCCAAAAAATGGCACAAAGAGTGTAAACGTGAAGTCCAGGTATTATCGTGAAATAGCAGCAAAGACATGTAACGGACAGGAAGACAAATAATTTTATATTTATATGCAAAATAAACCATGACAGAAAATTTAAGAGTGTAACAAGCAGAAATAAAATCAAGAGTATGAGGAATTTCTTCTCTCAAAGGGTTGTGAAAGTGTAGAATTCTTTACCACAGAGGGCTGTCAAGGCTGAGTCATTAATCATATCTGATGCTAAGAAAGACATTGTTTTATTCAGTAAAGGAGTCAAGTGTTATGGGAAAAAGGCAGGAAAGTGGAGTTGAGGATTATCAGATCAGCTATATCATCGAATGGTGACGCTGGCTCGATTGGCTGACTGGCTATTTCTGCTCCTAGATCTTATAGTCTTAGATTGTATCACACATGCAATAGATGGGAAAGGAAAGATACTGAGCAGAAGAATTTTTAAACTATTAGGGTAGAATATCATTAAAGCCTCTTTTTGGGGTCATACTGAAAGCATACAATTAAGGTGTAATAAGTTTGAGTCTGTGTAATAATTGCTGTGCGCTGCTGCCTCTACCGTGTCACCTCACTTTGTATTCAAAGGGCATGGTTGGTGAGGCAGTCAATCCAACTGTAACACAGAAACAATCAGGTCTCTAGTGACCCCTTTAAGGACTGTTAGTTAGTCCACTGCAAATTCAGAAAAACTATTCACAGCTTGTATCAAAAACAAAGAACTGTGGATGCCAGAAATGAAACAAAATCAGAAACGGCTGAAGAAACTCAGCAGGTCTTGACAGTATCTGTGGCGAGAAAGCAGAGTTAATATTTCGGGTCCAGTGACCCTTCTTCAGTCTTGACTCTGCTTTCTCTCCAGAAATGATGCCAGACCTGTTGAGTTTCTCCAGCTATTTCTGTTTTTGCCACAGCTTGTGTGGTTTGACTAATTTTAAAGAATTTAACAGTATACAAAATTGAAACAATGTCTCTGCAGACAGCCAATTAAAACGTCCTGACAAATTTCAGGAGAATCACAGAAGTGTTACAGCACAGAATGTGGCTATTTGGCCCATCCTATCTGTACCAGCTTGCTTAGTTTAACATTATGGCTTGGTGCCATTGTCCTGCCTTTTGAAGGCTGTTGCATGCTGCTTCTATTCAGAAGAATTTAGCAGCAGTGGAGTCCACGGGATGCAGAGCCAACTGAATGAAGTCACAAGGTCACATATGGTTCAGACTTTTCAATGGTGCAGTCACCTTTTCAAGAAGTTGAGAACTGCCTTACTGAATCCACGTTGCCCTGTTTATTCCATGATATTATTAATGTTAATATCAACATTTGTTAAAAAAAAATCAAAGAAATTAGTCCCAGCTTAAGTAGGAATACCTCCAGATCCCATATGCTTTTCCCAAACTTCGAGGGATTAAGCGTCAGTGATGGCACAATCTTTCACTATTAGGCTGTGGCGTTTCTGGTAATGTGGAACATTCAAAACATAAAAATTTACTTGTTCATTTGTTTTATGCACAAAGTCTAATTTTACTGAAATGTATCACAGTGTAGGTATTTGTCTATGATTACTACTAACAGATGTAGTCCCTGATCAATTGTTACAGTTGACAGACTCAGATGAATGTAAAAATGTTTCATATTAAAATGTTTTTCTTTCTAGAAAAGACCAAAAACACTATATACTTCTACACTATATTTATTGTCCACAAATACAGATATTGACTGTTTGTGGTATTGGCACTAAAGATTATATCTGAAATTTGTGTTGCATTTCTGTATCACTTTTCTCATATTTAACTTCTGGCACTGGCAGCAAAATATTGTTTCTAATGGAAATCATGTGTTTTTTTAAACGAAGGAGAAAACATTAATCCTCAGCAATATTATTTGGCAATTAGCAATTTAGTGGTGAAATAATTCACGTTAAAACATTCTAACAAAAATGCTCTTCTGATTCACTTTTAACTTCTGGTCGGCTACTGGACAATTGGCCCCTTCCGTCGGTCAATCAAAACTTAATTGTAATTCAAAATTAAGTTTGTTCATAAGTTTTCATACCAAACTAGAAAACTGTAGTTAAAACCTTTAGATAGTTGAAGCAACAAATACATAAATGCACATGACAGGGAAATGAACAGAAGGATGTTTTGTTAAGGTTGGATAAAGAAGTTGTGTAGATCATATGCACTGGCATGGACCTGTTGGGCTGAAAGGTCTGCTATAATGCTGTACAATACTAGAAGATGAAAACTATGAAATGCTACAAATAACAGACGATGTAAGGCACAGTGATTGGGTGGAATTTTTTTGACAAAATATACATTAATTTTGTGGAAGATTTACTATTATAGATGCAATACTTTCCCGTGTTTTCTATTTTATTTGCCAGATTCTAGTAACACTACTTGCTACACATATTCTAATGTATTTTTAATCAATATAATAGTAACAAGGGCAAGTGATTTGGAGGAATACATCATTCAGGAATACGCTTCATAAATTTCTAAATCATGCAAATTTTCTGTCAGAGTATTGTAACTGTATAAAATCTTTCCAAGTTGGTGAAAGTGTCCATTTTTGCATAGATATGCACAGAACCAAATCACTTGCCCTAATAAGAAGCAACAATATGATTATGCTCTAAAACAAAAAGCAAAATGCTGCAAATGCTAGAAACATTCAGGTGGTTATTGATGTGAAATGTCAACTTGGTTTCTCTCTCCACAGCCTGACTACTGAATGTTTCCTGCATTTTCTGTTGTTAATATGATTATGTTGAGAGATGAATAATATTGAAATATATTGCTGATAAAAGTTTTGCAAACCAAATGTAGTACAGCCAAGTGGTCCCATGCCCTCTGTTAAGATTTGGGATCAATCATCAGAGCTGTACAGAAACACAAATTCTATCCAAAAATTATTACTAGTAGTTCACAAATTTTTTTTGTTATTTTTCATATTTTATATTCAGTCCTTCACCTTGAAATTGTGGGAATCTGGACAAATAATTTTTAAATATGGACTTGCTCCAAATAAAATTATACATAATTACATATTCCTCAAAGTACAAAAAGCACATCAACTATGTTACATCAAAACTTTTTTTTTAAACCAATATCGCTTGCCTAATATATCAAAAGTTGCTCATGTATCAAAACCCTCTTCATTGTCGGTGAAATGAAGTTATTATTTTAGAAAATCTGCAGAATGATACAATCTACAGTAAATAACAAGTACAATATCTTGAATCTATGACTGAACAAATGTTTTTAAGAACTAAAAATCAATCTTGCATGGAAAATACAAGCAGTGATTTCATTTTCGATGAATCGATGGGTCTCATTTTAAGTCTAAGTGAATGGGTTTTGACTCTAATTAGAATCACCAAACCCAGTGTGTTATAGCAAACCGTGCGTTGTTCCTGGAAAATACTTGAGCATCTCCTCTAAATAGGGTGAGCAAGAATAAAAATAGGTGACAATTTTCAAAACTGGCTGGTTACTGCAGGATTTACTGAGGCTATTGATTTCTTATCTGGCTTCATCCTTTGGGGAGCACTATAGCCAACACACTCAACTTTTGTTTTATTATAGTCATAAATTAAAACGAAAACTCAAAATGCCTCTATTGTAATAAATATGTTTTTCTATTTGTGTTAGGGATACTCAAAATTTTTCCTTTCCCAAGACTTGTTTTTTTTTTTAAATTGAGACATTTATGTATTAAAATAACACAACATTATTGAACAAGTGTCCAATGCTGTAACGCAATTAGTCAATCAACAATGGAGGGTGAAGTGGAATAGTTTAAAAACTTTCAGCTTTGACCCAAGACATAAAGCTACACTTCAACATGGAACAATTGCTGTCTTTCCACAGTGTTTGAGAGGACCATACAGACTGTGTAGTTCTTTTAACTGAAGGACTCAGTGGCAGTGCTTCTGGTCTTGTACATATTGTTTAAGGAAATAAATACTATAAAAGAGAACACTTTCTTTTCTTGTTTTATGTTCCAGTCTTCAGTTCCCATTCCTGTAAAACAAAATGAAAAATGAGAACAATCAGGAAATTTCTATTCCGAACATACCTGCAAGGCACAAGGATAGGTGACTCGGCCCTTTGAAGCGGCTCTACCATTCAATATGATCTTGGCTGGAAAAGCACAGCGGGTCAGACAACATCTGAGGAGCAGGAAAGTCATTGTTTTGGGTCGAAACTTTCATCCTGAAGAAGAGTCTTGGCTTGAAATGTTGACTCTCCTGTTCCTCGGATGCTGTCTGACTTACCGTGCTTTTCCAGCTCCACATTTATTGACTCTAGCTTCCAGCATCTGCATCCTTACTGTCTCTGAGATCACAGCCGATTTGATTTTAACCTAACTCTACTTTCCTGCATAGCCCAACCATCTTTTATTCCTTTGGTTATCAAAGGCTATCTACATTGGCATTAAAAATATTTAAATGCATCCACGGCCTTTTTGCGAAGGGAATTCCAAAGATTCACAACCCTCCGAGAAAAGATGTTTCCTCATTTATGTCTTAAATGGATGTAACTTATTTCTAAATCATGACCTCTAATTCCTATCGACAGCTACACAGTCAAGTCTCCTCAGGATCTTATAGGTTAAGTAAGTCACCTCCAACTCTTCTAAACAAGTCTAGCCTATCTAGCCTTTCCTATCAAGGCAATTCACTCATTTCAGGCATTGGTCTAGTAAACATTGTCTGAACTGTTTCCATGTATTAACATCCTTCCAGTACCTTACATGGTACTCCAGATATGGTCTCACCAATGCCCTGTATAACTGAAATGTAACCTCCCTACTGTTGCATTTAATTCCCATTGCAATAAAACATATTCTATTAGCTTTCCTGATTGTTTGCTGAATCTGCATACTAACCTTCTGTGATTCATACAATAGAACTCACAGATCTTGCTACATCTCAGAGCTCTACAACCTCTCACTATTTAGATAATGGAGATGCTTCTTTTTAATTCATTCTGCCAAAGTGAACAATTTCACATTTTCCCTCACTGTACTCCATCTGTCAGATCTTTGGCCACTTACTTAACTGATCTTTAGCCCTTTGTGGGTTTATGTCCTCTTCACAATGCACTTTCCTATCTATCTTTGTGTCTTCAGCAACTTTAGACACAATACCTTCAGTCCCTTCATCCAGATCATTTATATAAATTGTCCAGTTGGTGCCCAGCACTGACCCCTGTGGCACACCACTCATAACATTCTGCCAACATGAAAAGGATCCATTTATTCTTACTCTCTGCTCCCTGTTAGTCACCAACTCTTCTACCCATGCCATTATGTTACCCCTCCGTACAATGAATTTTCCACAATAATCTTTGATGTGACACCTTATCAAACATCTTCTAGAAATTATCCAACCAGAGGGTACTGAGACATCGCTCGTTTGAATTCTGGGAGTGGACATTGCAGTCAGTGTGGATGTGAAGGGTATTGTGGAAGACCATTCCCGGTGATAAGCAGGAGGAAGAGCATCCAACCACAGGGTGTTGAGACATTGCTTGTTTGAATTTGAAGAGGCTGCTGGGCGGTTGAGATTGTCACACTCTTCCTTCTGGAATGTGCCTTTGCAAGGGAAGCCCAGAGTAAGATGCAGTGGTTTTTGTCAAGGTTCATCCTGAGCAGTTCCTGCAGTTCTTGCTCTCTCTCCGTGATGGGGAATCTGTGCTCTATAGTTTGTTCCCCAGGACGCACAACGAAACAAACATCGACCGAGCCTGGAGGACCATCAACTCTCTTTGGTCTGCCCGAAACTTGTTGGTCTTTCAGAACAAGGAGTTGACCCTGACTGAGTGTTGCAGACTGGTGCATTCCAAGGTCCAGGACTACGTGCTGAGGAACGCACTAAAATTTGGGGCAGCTGCTGCCAAGGTGCAAGTCAGGGATGACCATTGTCTGAGGTATTACTACTGAAGGTAGACAGGGGTCCATTCAATTATCAGATCCTCCTAGTGTGTCAAATATATGTAAATATTAGTGTCATACGTGTAAGAGAGATCTTTGGTTTTGTGGATAGTCCAACTCCAATGTTGTGTGTTCATTTGACATGCAACTGTGGAGAACCGAACTGCTTTTGTGTCAATGTATATATACAAAGAGATTTTTTTATGAATAAAGTATATTTTTGAAATTCTGGGGGTGGACTTCATAGTCAGTGTGGATGTGAAGGGTATTGTGGAAGACCATCCCCAATGATAAGCAGGAGGAAGAACATCCAACCAGAGGGTGCTGAGACATTGCTCGTTTGTATTCTGGGAGTGGACTTTGCAGTTAGCATGGGTGTAAAGTGTTTTATGGAAGAACCTGCTATGGAGGAATGGTTAGCCCCAAACAGTACATTACTGTAGTGTTTCCATCCTCTAACCAAAAAAAAAGAGAGGCAAGGTTCAGAGGAGAAGAAGAGACAAAACATTGAGAGAGGAAGGTCAGCAGCAAGAATTCCAGCGGGCAAAGGAGAGCGAGCCTAAACAGTTTCTGGACTCTGTTGTTGGTGAGTGACAGATAAGTTTTGGAAATTGTTAACAGAGCAGAGAGCATCAGAAGCGAAGAAAAATATTTGGCATTGTAAGGATTAAGTAAGTTAAGGGGTAAGACATGGCAAGAGAGCTCCAAATCATAGGCTGCTCTTCTTGCTTGATGTGGGAAGCTGTTCACATTTCCAGTGTCAGGGACCTGCATGTGTGCAAGAAGTGTCTCCAGCTGTAGCTCCTGGAAGCCTGGAGTTTGAGTTGGAGCAGTGTCTGGGGATACTATGGAGTATTCGTGAGGTGGAGAGTATCGTAGATAGCATGTAAAGAGAGGTGGTCACACTGCAGACTCAGATTCCACAGGCAGGAAGGGAATGGGTGACCACCAGGCAGAGCAGGAGGGCTAAGTAGGCAGTGCAGGAATCTCCTGTGGTTATTCCTCTGCAGAACAGATATACTGTTTTGGATAGTGTTGAGGGGAATGGCCTCTCAGGGGATAACAGCAACAGCCAAATTCATGGCACCATGGTTGGTTCTGCTGCAGAGGGAGGGAGAAATAAGCATAGAAATGCAGTAGTTATAGCGGATTCAATTGTAAGGGGAATAGTCTCTGTGGCCGCAAAGGAAAACCCAGGATGGTGTGTGGCCTCCCTAGTGTTAGGGTCCTGGATGTGTCACAGTGGTTGCAGGACATTCTGGGGGGGAGGTGGGGGGTGAACAGCCAGTGGTCATGGTACAAATGACATAGGTTAAAATAAAAGAGATGAAGTCCTAAAAGCAGAATATAGACAACTAGGAAGAAAGTCAAAATGTAGGATCTCCAAAAGGTTTCAGGATTACTACCAGTGCCATGAGCTATTCGGAATAGAAACAGCAGGATATATAGGATGAACACATGGCTGAAAAGATGGTGTGAGGGGGAGGGTTTCAGATTTGTGTGCCATTGGGACTGGTTCTTGAGGAGATGGGACCTGTACAAACTGGATGGGTTACACCTGGGCAGGACCAGGACTAATGTCCTTAGGGGGTGGGGGTAGTTGGTAGAGTAATTGGGGAGGGTTTAAACTAGTGTGGCAGGGGGATGGGAACCAGAGAAGTAGGGCCGTAGGTACAGACATTAAGGAAGAGGTAGAAACCAGGACAAACCTGACTAAGAACAGGCAGGGAAATGCTGTTAAAAAGAGAAGGGGAAGTGATCTGAAATGTGTGTGTTTCAATGCAAGAAATATAATTGGCAAGCTAGATGAACTGAGTGTTGGTTAGTACTTGGAACTATGATATTACTGCGATTATGGAGACTTGGCTGAAAGAGGGACAGGACTGGGAGCTGAATGTCCCAGGATTTAAATATTTCAGGTGTGATAGAAGGGGATGTAAAAGGGGTGGGGAGTTGTTTTACTGGAAATGGAGTATCTCACAGCTGTACTGAGGGAGGATACATCAGAGGACTCGTGCAGCAAGGCAATATGGGTAGAACTCGAGAATAGGAAAGGTGAAATCACTGTGCTGGGGCAATATTACAGGGCTCCTAACAGCCAGGAGGTGGAGGAGAGAACATGTAGACAAATTTTGGAAAGATGTAAAAACAGCAGGGTTGTGCTGGAGGGTAATTTTAACTTCCCCTACTCTGACTGGGACTCACTTCGTGCTCAGGCCATAGATGGGGCAGAATCTGTAAGGACCATTCAGGAAGGTTTCTTGACACAGTACGTCAACAGTCCAAACAGGGAAGGGGTTATCATCAGGAAGCACCTGAATTTGGGAAATAAGCCTGGCCAGGTGAGTGAAGTTTCAGTGGAGAAGCATTTCGGGAGTAGTGGCTATAATAACGTGAGTTTTAAGATACTCGTGGATAGGGATAACAAGCAGTCCTCGGGTGAACTATAACAATATTAGGCAGGAACTGGAGAGTGTTGATTGGAGGCAGCTGTTTGAGGGAAAATCCACATCGGACATGTGGAAGTTTTTCAAACGGCAGTGATAAGAGTTCAGGAAAAGCACATTCCTGCGAGAAAGAAGGATAGGTATGGCAAGTTACATGAACCTTGGGTGATCAGGGATATTATGACCTTGGTCAAAAAGAAAAAGGAAGCATACGTAAAGTCTAGGAGGATGGGAACTGATGAAGCCCTTGACGTATATAAGGAAAGTAGGAAAGAACTTAAATAAGGAATTAGAAGGGCTAAAAGGGGTCATGAAAAGTCATTAGCAAGCAGGACTAAGGAGAATCCCAAGGCTTTTTATAGATATATGAAAAGCAAGAAGGTAGCCAGGAAAAGGGTTGGCCTAGGCAAGGACAAAGGAGGGAATGTATGTGTGCAGCCAGAGAGGTAAGACCATAAGACATAGGAGCAGAAATTAGGCCATTCAGCCCATCGAGTCTGCTCCGCCATTCAATCATGGCTGATAAGTTCCTCAACCCCATTCTCCTGCTTTCTCCCCGTAACCCTTGATAATCAAGAACCTATCTATCTATCTCAGTCTTAAATGTACTCAATGACTTGGCCTCCACAGCCTTCTGTGGCAGTCATTTCCATAGATTAACCACTCTCTGGCTGAAGAAGTTTCTCTTTGTTCTAAAACGTCTTCCCTTTACTCTAAGGCTGTGCCCTTGGGTCCTAGTCTCTCCTACCAATGGAAGCATCTTCCCAACATCCACTCTGTTCAGGCTATTCAGTATTCTGTATGTTTCAATTAGATCCCCCCATATCCTTCTAAACTCCAATGAGTATAGTCCCAGAGTTCTCAAACGTTCCTCATATGTTTAGCTTTCCATTCCTGGGACCATTCTCATGAATGTAGGTGAGGTCTTAAATGAATATTTTGTGTCAGTATTCACCAAAGACAGCGACTTGGTGGAGGACGATCTCAGAGAATGGAGTGCTGAATTTCTAAGCCAAGTTGCTATTAAAAAGGAAAAGGTGTTGTGTGTCTTAAAAAAAAATTAAGGCAGATAAGTCCCTGAGTTCTAATGGGATCTATCCCAGATAGTGAGGGAAGCAAGATACCAAATTGCTGGAGCATTGACAGACATGTTTTGCCACTGATGAGGTCCCCGAGGACAGGAGAATAGCCAATGTTGACCCATTGTTTAAGAAAGGTTGCAGGGATAATCCAGGAAATGATAGGCCTGTGAGCCTCACGTCAGTGGCAGGGAAATTATTGGAAAAGATTCTCAGGGACAAGATCTATACACATTTAGAAGCAAATGGACTGACTAGCAATAAACAGCATGGTATTTTTGCAGGGGAGGTCATGCCTCACTAACTTGATCAAGTTTTTTGAGGAGGTGACGAAGATGATTGATGAGGAAAAACCGACTGTTGTCTACATGGACTTCAGTAAAGCCTTTGACAAAGTCCCTCATGGCAGACTGGTACAAAAGGTGAAGTCACGTGGTATCGGGGTGAGCTGGCAAAACGAATGCAGAACTGGCTTAGTCATAGGAGGCAGAGGGTAGTGGTGGAAGGATGCCTTTTGGAATGGAGGCCTGTGATTAGTGGTGTTCCATGGGGACCTGCGATGGGACCTCTGCTGTTTGTGATCTACATAAATGATTTGGAGGAAAACGTAGCTGGTCTAATTAGTAAGTTTGCGAACAATACAAAGATTGGTGGAGTTGCGGATAGTGAGGAGGATTGTCAGAGGATGCAGCAGGATATAGATCAGTTGGAGGCATGAGCAGAAAAATGGCAGATGGAGTTTAATGCTGACAAATGTGGGGTGATGTATTTTGGAAGGTCAAGTACAGGTCCACAGATCACTGAAGGTGGCAGTGCAGGTAGATAAAGTAGTGAAAAAGGCCTATGGCATGCTTGCCTTCACTGGAAGGGGCACTGAGCATAAGGATAGACAAATTATGTTGTAACTTTATAGAATTTTAGTTACACCAAACTTGGAATATTGCACACAGTTCTGGTCACCACAATACCAGAAGGATGTGGATCTTTGGAGAGGGTACAGAAAAGGTTTACCAGGATGTTGCCTGGTATGGGGGATTTTAGCTATGAAGAAGCATTGGATAGGCTGGGTTTGTTTTCACTGGAACGCAGGAAATGAGAGGCAACCTGATAGAAGTTTAAAAAATTGTGAATGGCACGGATTGAGTGGAAAATGAGTTTTTTCCCCCAGGGTGGAGGGATCAATTACTAGGGGACACAGGATCAAGGTGCGAGGGGGGGAAGTTTAAAAGAGATGTGTGAGGCATGTTTTTCACACAAAGGGTGGGGAGTGCTTGGAATGTGCTGCAGGAGGTGGTGGTAGAAGCAGACACAATAGCAGCATTCAAGAAGCACCTGGATGAATACACGAATAGGAAGGGAATAGAGGGATATAGATCCTGTAAGTGAAGCCTGTTTTATTATGGAAGGGCAAAATGTGTTGGCGCAGGCTTGGAGGGCCGAAGGACTGGTTCCTGTGCTGTATTGTTCTTTGTTCTAAATCTAAGAATAATACATCTACTGGTTCCCCTTTATCAACAGTAGTAGTTACTTCTTCAAAAGAACTCTAACAAATTAGTTAAACAAGATTTCACTTTGACAAAAACTATACTGGATCTGCCTGATTACCATGAACTTATTTAAATGCCCTGTTACAATGTCTTTAATAATAACTTCTCACATTTTCCCTATGACAGATGTTAAGCTAATTGGCCTGTTGTTTGCTTTCTGCCTGCCTCCCTTTTTCAATAAATGACTGGCTATTTTACAAACTAAAAGTTATCTTCCACGAATCTAGCACGGATTCTTGTGATGTTTCTGAATTTCCTGTGTTTATTTTCAAATATCCTGATTTTTATTTAAATTAAGAAAAGCACTGTGAGAATGTTGCTTGCTCAATGAGTTTCAATCGTAAGTATTACCTACAATCAATGTTCTCACTCATGCGAGGTTTCAGATTTTCCAGCTCAAAGTCACCATAAAACAATATTCTCGGTTTTTAGAACTTGATTAATTAGAGATCTGACCCATGTAGCAGGCTTGAAAAACAGATGACTACAAAGGTCTGGTTCTCAAAAGGTTTGTATCACTGTAGACTTCCTTCTCTAGATCCATTCTGGCTAACTGATAGAGTAAATATTATGACAAGTCAGTAACGCCATTATTGCACCTTGAGGCCAGGAATGATAGAAGCTGAACTAGATGGACTTTGACCTTTTATCATCTTGTCATCTCAGTGTTCCAATGACTAACACCTGTTAGGAATGAAATGCTTGGTCTTACTATGTAAAACTTAGACAACCCATTTACATTGAAGGAGTACACCATTCACTGGAGAACAAACATTTCCTGTTGCAAAGAAAAACCTAACAGTCCACAACTGACCTGGAATAGGAATGGTGTCTTACAGATATAGAAGCTAATGAATGAATTAAAGACAAGAAACAGGAAGAAAAACAATAACTTTTAGAATTATGTGTTAGGACTGACATATAAACCATTCATTATCACCAGCATGACTTCCCTGAAAGTGCCTATTTCAACCACCACCCATTTTCCTATCATCACCTTCATCTCCCTCCCTCTACCTGGGCCTGTCTAACCTGCACTGGCAAGGCTGCCCCACTTGCCTTCCAGTCCAGCCTTCTCTTTGGGACTGTAGTCAAAGCAGGGCCCACTACGCCAGGTAGCACTGCTGGGACTGGTGAGTTGCTGGTCATCTGATCGGCTGGAAAATCTGGGATTTAGGACATTATTGCACAAAAGCCACAACCTGCAGCATCTAATTGCCTGATGACTATAAAATCCTGTCATGGCTTCCCACAATGCTATAGGTGGGCTTGGCCCTGACTTTTCTTTTGGTGGACAGGCCCACTGTCTTCTTGTAGTCTAACCTGTCAGTGAGACACTGATAACAGCCAAAAATAAAATTGGATTGAGCGTAAAATAACTAGTCTACGTAATCTATCAGTTGCTGTCATTCAGGCTAGATTTCAGTTATTGAACAGAAGGGAAGCCAAATTGCACTTGCTCATTCAAAGGCAAGAGACTCATGGAACATTTTTCCTGAGAATAAAACCTGTACATAAAAGAGGGTATGGTAGCTTGGTGACTGTGTTACTAAGCTAGCAAACTGAAGGTCATGATTTCAAATTCCAGCACAGCAAGCTGAGCACCCAATTTCATTCACTTATCACTGTTAGCAAATAACCAGAAAAACTGTGAAATCAGGAATATAGGATCTGGAGGAGATCACATCTGTTATTTCCCTGTCATTTGATGAGACCCTAGGTAATCTGTATCTTAACTTCATCCACCTGCCTTGACTCCATACCACATCCCTATTACCCTTGGCTAGCAAAAGTCTATTGATTTAGGATTTAAACTTACTAATTCATGGCTTTTTGTGAATGGACATTCCACAGTTTCACCATCCTGTAAAATACAACTGGTTCACTGATAACTTTTGGTAAAGTTTTGGGCCATTTCTGCTATTAGGAATATTAATATCTTTTAAAGCACCCTCTCATCCATTCAAACACCTCTGATCCATCCTGTGTAAGGGTGTACGGGGTCCAGCATTGCAGCTTTCAGTCATCTCAAGACCTACAACTGCAGAATGGAATAAAGTCATCCTTGGTCTCAAGGGGCTGCCTTCTAAGAATGATGGGTATTAAATTGAGGAAGAAATTTCTGTTACTGTGGGGGATTTCCTGTTGTAGTTTTGGCACAATTATGGTGAAATTGCATCGTAGGCTAGAGACAACCTATTTTCAATTTCCAGGCTGTTGTGTTCTCATTACGACACTGTCTGTCCTCCACAAGAGGTATGCTGCTACAGTACTTATAAGGTCACGTGCACTGAGCTCTGTTTAATTATTATTTGCAAGGAATACATTCTCCTGGAACTAACACCAGTAGTACAACTAAAGACGTGAGGCAGCCCCAACTACACTTCTTATGAAATGTTTCCTAACTATTTAGGCAGCTGCTTGCATTTCAGATATCAGCTAAAATGACTTTCAGTGAAATAATGAGGAGCAATATTGTACTGATTCTTCTGTACCTTGGCCTTCCTGCGTACATGGCCTCGACTTGGGGAAGAAACCATCGAAGGGGGTCTTCTTCCGAGAGCAGCTGCATTCACAGGTAGTGATAGTGGCTCAGTGTCACTTGTATCACAGCTGGAAGCTGGAGAATTGTCCAGGGTGCGGTGCATAATCACAGGGGACTGCAAAGAACCATAAATAATGCAATAAATATTTCAAATGCAGAGGTTTCCCTAACTGCAGGATGTACATGTTTCCATTTTGCTCTCTGTTAAACACAAATCTTAGGAAACATTTTGTATCACTATTAGGTGTATGAGCAGTTGGGACCCTTTGTTGTTTTACTACATATAACAGAAGAAAGCTTTGCTCAGAAGCTTGTGGAATAAAGTGGTACAATCAACCGTTTCATTATTTTCTTCAATAACTAATTTCTGTGCAATAAACACCTTTGCCTAATGGAGAAAGGAGACTAGCTGAGACCAGTGGACCAATACTGTATATTTATTGGTTTACCAGAACATAGGAGTACACTATTCAGCCCTTCGACTCTGTTCTATAATTTACTATATTATGGCTTATCAACTGCTTCAAGGCCATTTTCCTGTTCTTTGCTCTCGACGTAACTCATATTTAGAAGTCTATCAAGACCAGTCCTGCACAAATTCAACACTGAGCTTCCATAGCCCTCTGGGGTAGACAATTCCAAAGATTACCTAAACTCTTGGTGAAGAAATTCCTCCTTATGCTTTTCCTAAATGGCTTGGCCTTATCCTGAGATAACAAGGTGTAGAGCTGGATGAACACAGCAGGCCAAGCAGCATCAGAGGAGCAGGAAAGCTGACATTTCGGGCCTAGACCCTTCTTCAGAAAATTTTCAGATTCTCCAGCATCTGCAGTTCCTACTATCTCTGGCCTTATCCTGAGTTCTCCCTGGTTCTATAGCCCAAAGCCAGGGGAAACTGCTGCAGATCCTTTCTGCATCAAACCTGTAACTCCTTATTGGACCAGACAACAAAGTGTCCTCTCATTCTTCCAATTTCTGGAAAGTACAAGGCTAGTATCTCACACACCCAAAAAGTGGCATGGTGCTGCATCAGAACTGAAAGGTACTGTTTGTTTTTTAAAAACTTTTTGTTTTATAATTCATTCTTACATTTCCTATTTGACCACCAAGCACTGCCATCATCTCAGAGGAACAATTTGTGCTGTCAACAATGTCATGTCTTGGACAGACGGAAAAGGGCCACTTATACAGAGAAGAGCTCATGAGAAATATTGAAAGAAGATATTTCAGACTGTAAGGTGCACTATTCAGTAAGCTGTGCTGCCAAACAGCACCAAGTAACTTCATGTGACTGTAAGCTGGAATTTACATAAAGCCTGGCCAATGGGATCCACATATCAAATTGTTTGCTGCAACAGTACTTGACTTAATACTCTCCATGACCCATCCCTCGTGTTCATTCTGTTACTGAGCAGAAGGTGATCACAATTCTTGAGGCAAGCTCCACAAATGCCAATTCATGATACAGTTAAATGAGATTAAATGTTTTCTAAACATAAAATTTTGGGATGGAAGGGTAGAAAATGGATCTTGCACTGTCACTTTTAGGGATGAAGAATGGAAGGAAGTCCCAGGACACCACTTTACGCCTGAAAGATATCTGAAATATATCCAAGGTTAGATCAATTGCACAGGTACCACCAGTCAGCGTTAGCCGTTTTAAAATACTTTACTGAAATCTTGCTTCCCAGACTACAACCTGAACTGCTTCAGTTTTCCAGCTCGGGATACACTGAGCAAGTGGCTACCAACAAAAGCTATTTTAAAGACTAAAAAAAAATCCCTGTGCAGCCAAGAGGTGCTGGAGTGCTCCTCTTGCCTTTTGAAAGTCATGAGCTCCCTCCTTTGCCTGTCACCTCCCCCCATCAGAACTTGCCCAAGAGCCACTGTCAGCATCAGGTTACCCAAAGTGAATGGGCTGAAGTGGTGAGCTTCTTCTGGAAAGATGAGTGGCGCCACTAAGTCAAAGTTTTACAATGACACCTAAGAACCAATACTGGGTGAATATCAGCCCTCCCTGTTAGGGAATGATAGAGCAAACACAATCAGTTACGTACCCAAAAATGGACTAGCTCAAAACCTACCATGGTAAACTGTGAAACTCTTCTTAATAGAAATTAAAATCTCACATATTATGATTGGGATGTCTGTGAATCAACTACTAGGCTATATACAATTTTAAAATAAACCGTATTTTAACTCGGATGTGTACAAACATACTAACAATGGTCAGGAAAAGATCCCATTGTCCATCCTATACTATTTCTCATACATTTTGTTTGTATTTACCTGCGGGCTGGAGGTTCTTGATGACTTTGGTTCTATTGTCAGGCCCAGTGTGGGGCCTCCAGCAAGAGCTTTCTTCAAGCTTTCATTCACCTCCGTCAGCTCCAATTCCAGGTTCACACGTTCAGTTTCTTTGATCTTGCACTCCTCCTCTAATTTCTTTAGCTTGGTCTCCAGAGCAGCCTGAGACTTCTTACCTATTTTAATTTAAAAATAAAAAGTGCAAGACAATAGAATATAAAATTAGCCATGGGTGTGCAGTGAACCTCTGAACCAAACTCTTCCCTTCCCATTGGGTGGGAGTGGTTAAAATTACTGCTGCAGTCTCCGTGGAAGTTTTTGAATGATAGTGGAAGTAAGTTTAACGGTGGAAAGATGTGACAGGGTAAGAGTAAAATGAAACAAGTATACGTTCCAGTGAGAGAACTGATAAAAAAAGATTAGTAGTAGTGTTTCCATTTGATTACAGGAAATGTTAATATTTCTGAAACATATAGGATGGATTTTACTGAGATACTTCAATAGTCTTCTCTTCAACCAGAAGCGAAAGAACTTACAACAGACAGTTCATATAAGATTTACCCCTGTAGGAAAACAAGCATTAAGTTATTTTCTAGAGATAAATAAAAATGAATTTGGAAAGGGTATTAGGATTTTTTTTTATTATTCATTAATGGGATGAGGGTATCACTGCTAGGCCATTCCTAATTGCCCAGAGGGCAGTTCAGAGTCAACCACATTGGAGGAGGGAAACCTTGGCTCTAGAGCACGGGAAGGTAATAATGCTCAAGGCAGCTGAATGGATCATTGTCTCTGGGTGAATGGATGCTGGGAATCCTTATATTTGATTTGAATCTGAGTCAAAGTTGTGTGATCTCCAACGGTTGTAGACACTGGTAGCACTGGACACTACCTTGCAAAAGCAACGTTTTAACTCTAGCAGTGGGGCATTTGCCCTCATGTTGATTGCTGTGCGAACATGATGTAAAGATGCACCAGTCCAAAACTGAGCTTTTGTGACGTGCTGTGAGCCATCTAAGCTCACAGACTGGCACAATGGATTACTATCCCAGAGTGCTGTTAAATGTGGAGTGCAGAGGGTTGTACTAGGGACATTATTGGGAATATTTTGTAAAAGATTATTAACCTAGTAATCAAACATACAGGCAATCCCCCATTCAACACCAAAGATAACAGGCTATTGACAAGAGAGGTCGGAATATCAATGCATCAAAGGAAAGCTCTAACTCTGCCATATCCACTTGAGAATGATATTGAACAACCAACTAATTAATAGAGAAGGGTTAATAGAGAAGGATTGACTGCCCTGGTCGACCCATTGTCTCCGCCTGCTCCTGCCCCACCGAACTTATCTCCACCTATCTCGACTCCATTTTCTCCCCTTTGGTCCAGAAACTCCCCAAATACGTCCGTGACACCACCCATGCCCTCCACCTCCTCCAAAACTTCCAATTCCCTGGTCCCCAACACCTCATCTTTACCATGGATGTCCAGTCCCTATACACCTGCATTCCCCATGCAGATGGCCTAAAGGCCCTCCACTTCTTCCTGTCCCGCAGGCCCGACCAGTCCCCCTCCACTGACACCCTCATCCGCTTAGCCGAACTCGTCCTCCCCCTCAACAACTTCTCTTTCAATTCCTCCCACTTCCTACAGACAGACAAAGGGGGCGGCCATGGGTACCTGCATGGGCGCAAGCTATGCCTGCCTCTTTGTAGGTTATGTGGAACAATCCCTCTTCCGTACCTACACTGGCCCTAAACCCCACCTCTTCCTCCGCTACATTGATGACCGTATCGGCGCCGCCTCGTGCTCCCATGAGGAGCTCGAACAGTTCATCCACTTCACCAACACCTTCCACCTCAACCTTAAGTTCACCTGGACCATCTCTGATACCTCTCTCTCCTTCCTGGATCTCCGTTTCCATCTTGGGCAACCACCTGGAAACCGATATCCATTTCAAGCCCACCGACTCCCACAGCTACCTAGAATACACCTCCTCTCACCCACCTTCCTGCAAAATTGCTATCCCCTATTCCCAATTCCTTTGCCTCCGCTGCATCTGCTCCAAGGATGCGACATTCCACTCCTGTACATCTGAGATGTCCTCGTTTTTCAAGGACCACAACTCCCCCCCGCCTCAGTGGTCGAGAACGCCCTCGACCGTGTCTCCCGCATTTCCCGCAACTCATCCCTCACACCCCCTCCCCGCAATAACAAAAACAGAATCCCCCTTGTCCTCACGTACCACCCCACCAACCTCTGGATCCAATGCATCATCCTCCAACACTTCCGCCATCTGCAATCTGACCCCACCATCAAAGACATTTTTCCCTCCCCACCCTTATCTGCTTTCCGGAGGGACCACTCTCTCCGGGACTCCCTTGTCTGCTCCACACTCCCCTCCAGCCCTACCACACCTGGCACTTTTCCCTGCAACCGCTGGAAGTGCTACACCTGCCCCTACACCTCCCCCCTCACCCCCATC